ACAAATTGGAGCTTGTCCAAGGAAGAGCAGCTAAAATGAAAAAGGGCCTGAATGGAAAAATTAAAAAAAGAAAAGAAAAGATGAGAAAGATGTAGATTTTAGGCCCTCATCAAGAAAATAAAATTTTTAATGGTGTTCAACCATGTTGAAACAGGATTGGAAAACTATAAAAGAACCTGGATAGTGGGTTCCTATGCAGGTAGGAGGAGATTTCCATGGTACCTTCCAAATTTTACATCACACAATAATATGACTGAATGTTGATTGTGCAGAATAATAGAATAACAGAGTTGGAAGGGACCTTGGAGGTCTTCTAGTCCAACCCCTGCTCAGGCAGGAAACCCTATACCAGGGGTGTCAAACTCAAGGCCCATGGGCTGGGTGTGGCCCGCGGGGTGCTTAAATCCGGCCCGTGGGGCAGGCCTGGAAATATCAAAGGACTGGCCCACGATGCCTCTGGCGGCTAAAATGGGCTGCATGTGCCCCCCCGCGCCTCATTTTCACCCTTCATGGCCTCCTGCAGCACTCTGCCGACCGAAAACGGGCCGAAGATGGCCCGAAAAAGGGCCTGAAAACCCACCGCACCCTGTTTTGGCCAGCAGGGTGCTGCAGGAGGCATCCATCCCACACCCCAATGCCGCCCCCCTTGGCCCGCAGAGAAGAACTACAATGGTGATCTGGCCCTCAAAGAAATTCAGTTTGACACCCCTTCCCTATACCATTTCAGGCAAATGGTTGTCCAATCTCTTCTTAAAAACCTAAAATTCTTAAAAATTCTCTAGAGTTTTTGGACTTACTTGGTCTAGGGTACTCACAGTTTCCCAGTTGTAACTATGGCGAAGTCTCTCCACATATTATGCCATTAAGTGGTTTTCATCATGTAGAACACAGAACATAGAATAACAGAGGTGAAGGGACCTTGGAGATCTTCTAGTCCAACCCGCTGCTCGAGCAGGAGACCTTATATCATTTCACACAAGTGGCTGTCCAGCCTCTTCTTAAACATCTTAATATGTCTTCTGAACTGGTTAAGACACCAGGCTACAAATCAAGAGACTGAGAGTTCTAGTCCTATCTTAGATATAAAAATTGTCTGGATGGCTTTGGGCCAATCATCAAGAGACGATGAGTTCTAATCCCACTTTGGGCATAAATGCTGGTTGGTTGATTTTGGGCCAATCACCAGGAGATGGTGAGTTCTGGAATCCCGCTGTAGGCACAAAACCAGTGGGGTGACTTTAGGCTAGTCATTCTCTCAGGGGCCCAACTCACCTCACAGGGTTGTTGTTGAAAATAGAAGGAGGGAGGAAGATGATTTGAACATGTTCACTTCCTTGAGTTCTAATCCCACCCTAGGCAAAAAGCCATCTGGATGACCTTGGGCCAGCCCTTCTCTCTCAGCCCTAGGAAGGAGGCTATGGCAAACCTAACTTGCCAGCCCTTCTCTCTCAGCCCTAGGCAGGAAGGCATGGCAAACCTAACTTGCCAGCCCTTCTCTCTCAGCCCTAGGCAGGAGGCAATGGCAAACCTAACTTGCCAAGAAAACTGCAGGGACTTGTCCAGGCAGTCTCCGAAAACTGGACACAATTGAATAGAAGAAGGAAAGAAAAAAGACTACTGTATACAAAAATATTATAGGGAAACAATAATAAAGATAGAATATAAGATACTGATATACTAGATTTAGTAAAAGCTTGATATTCTGTAATCATTAGGTTCCTGTAACATATATATTGTGCCTTTGTATTTGTATCACATATATTATTCCTTTCTATTTGTATCTCCTGTTACAAACATATTGTCATTAGGCCTCTGAAATGTATCTGGTATTTGTCAAACGTATCTCCCTGCCATTTGACCTGAACTCATATCAATCTCTTTCTGTGCCATCTAAAAGCATGGTACGTAACTCTGTTGGAACTACAACCATCAACAAAGGGATAATTTACACCTCAGCCCTAATTTATGTTTGATCTGGATAAGATCTTGTCCTCCAGAGCCAGGGGCTAAGTGGCCAATTAAGTAAACAAAGAAATGCTTAAGATAAGACATAATTGGAAGTTTAGATTCCTTTGCAGGGCAACAAAGAATACACAAACATAAATTAGGGGCAAGAGTTGGGGACCTAACTGGTGCTTTAAAGGTATAAAAAGTGGTTACATCTTCTCTGAAGGTGTGAACCCTCCCATATACATATCTCTTTGTATGTGTTTGGAATGGTTTTACCCAGCCTTTTGTCTTTGATCAAAGATTGAATGTTGATTCTTATTCAAGCCTCCGTTTAAGTCTTTCTTTTTGGTTCACTGAGAGCTTAAGCGTATAGCCGGACCTTACAATATAATCAAATAACAGAACATAAATTGAATGGTAACACTGGTGTTATTATTCATATCACATTTGCTGGCTGGGTGGCAACCAAAATAATCTTACACAAGCTTCCAGCGTAATTTCAGCTTTTAGCAACTGGACCCTGCTATTTATTTTATTTTTTTAAAAAAAGATGATGAAATTAAGCCACAATCCCATAAAAAAAACCAATGGCCACGACCAAAGATTAAAAACGCAGGGCTGTTTTATTTTCGAAGTTCAGTGAAAGAGCATACCGTACTGTACAAAGATTAGTAGCAGAAAAGAACCGATATTTAAGCATGGAACTGTTTATATTCGTTGAGACCACTTCTTATTTGATAAATGGGGAAGAGAAAACACTCTATCTCCCCTCCTTTGTTTTCTTTAAAACACAAACTATTAACAGGGAGATAGGAAACACTCGTGATTATTTCATTTTATTCGATGATAAGACACTTTAGATCAAGGGTCTCCAACCTTGGCAGCTTTCAGACTTGTGGACTTCAACTCCTAGAATTCCCTTCTGGGAATTGAAGTCCACAAGTCTGAAAGCTGCCAAGGTTGGAGACCCCTGCTTTAGATGACTAACAATATAAGGTCTCTGCTGTTTCTTTAAATTACACTTTTTTGTATTTCTGCCACAAAAACAGAATGAGAGCCAAGCTGTTACATTGAGCAAGTATATGAAATTTGCCAGCACACAGATGTTTTAGAAGCCAAGATTGCTTCGTTAGTTGTAATTGCCATCTTATTTTTATTTCCCTCCAGAAGACCCAGGCAAAGTTCACCTCACATTGTTACACGTCTATGGAGATTGTCCATCATCCAGGTCATGGTTGTCCCAAAAGAGGCTTTTTTTCAAAAGGCAACTGGACTTCCTTGTGAGTGTGTGTTTTTTATTTCTTTCTTTTCTTTGAAAACGTTTTGCTTCTCAGCCGAGAAACTCCTTCGGTTCTTAACACAAATGCAACGGAGATTGGGGTGCAACGGAGAAGGGGGTGCAATGGAGATTGGGGCGCAATGGAGACTAGCCACATTGCGGTGCACCAGGGGTGAAATGCTACCGGTTCGCTCCGGTTTAGGAGAACTGGTAGTGATAAAAACTACCTGTTCGGGCGAATCAGTAGTTAAAAAAAGCTACTGATTCGGGCGAACTTTTTTACTACCGGTTCTATGGATGTGGCTTGTGGGCGCGGCATGGCGTGGTGGGCGTGGCTTGGTGGGCATGGCAGGGGAAGGATACTGCAAAATCTCCATTCCCACTCTACTCCAGGGGAAGGTTACTGCAAAATCCCCATTTCTTCCCGATCAGCTGGGACTTCGGAGGCAGAGAATAGATGGGGGTGGGGCCAGTCAGAATTTTTACTACCAGTTCTCCGAACTACTCAAAATTTCCGCTACCAGTTCTCCAGAACTGGTCAGAACTTGCTGAAACCCACTTCTGTACTGGTTCCTCTGAACCGGTATTTCCGACGATCAGCTGTGCTGCACGGTTTAGTTTTGCTAGAAAGCAGGAAATACTGCTTTCTAGCGAAGCTAAATCGTGCAGCACAGCTGATCCCCCCTCACTGTTCTACTTACCTTCCCAAGCCTCCTTTTGGTATGCAGCGCACATGCGCGGCCAGCGAACCAATAGCAAACCGGTTCAGATTTCACCACTGCGGTGCACCCCGGGAAATGTGACTTCGTTACAACTAAATAATGTAGACACATTGGCTGCTGGATCTCATAAGGATTGCCCATCAAAAAAGCAGCAGCATGAAGACTGAAAAATATAATAGCTGAAATGATAAATGGTGGAATATGGGTAGTCCTCGACTTACAACCATTCGTTTAGTGACCGTTCAAAGTTGCAACGGCACTGAAAAAAGTGTCATGATCATTTTTTACACTTATGACCCTTGCAGCATCCCCATGGTCATGTGATCAGAATTCAGATGTTTGGTGACTGGCTCGTATTTATAACGGTTGCACTGTCCCGGGGTCATGTGATCCCCTTTCGCGATCTTCTGACAAGCAAAGGGGGGAAGCCAGATTCATTTAACGACCGTGTTCCTAACCTAATAACTGCAGTGATTCATTTAACAACTGGAAGAAGAAAGGTCTCTGAATAGAGAAGAGAAAAACAGAGGCAAGAAATGTTGTAAAATGGGGCAAAAATCACTCAACAACTGTCTCGCTTAGCAACAGAAATTTTGGGCTCAAATGTGGTTGTATGTCAAGGACTACTTATACTAATTGAAGTGGTTGGCAAAGGATGAAAAGAACTTGTTGTAAAGGTCTCTTACAGAGGACCCCCATTGAGTTGTGAATGCAAATATCATTTATGAAGTTTTTCTGTCTTCCCCAACATTTATATAAATTCAATAGAATAGAATAGAATAGAATAGAATAGAATAGAATAGAATAGAATAGAATAGAATAGAATAGAATATGGTAGAGTAGAGTGGAATTGAATTGAATTGAATCGAATCGAATACTTTATTGGCCAAGTGTGATTGGACACACAAGAAATTTACCTCCGGTGCATAAACTGTTACTCTACATACAAACAACAAAATAAAATAATGACCATTGGCCAGATGTAATCAGACATACTAGAATAGAATAGAATAGAATAGAATAGAATAGAATAGAATAGAATATCTTTATTGGCCAAGTGTGATTGGACGGACAAGAAATTTGTCTATGGTACATAAGCTCTCAGAATAAGTGAGTATGTGCCTGTGTGTAAAGCTTAAGCAATTGTAATTATTAAAGCTTTTGTAGGTTAATAGTGACTCCCTGCACATTGGGTTATCTCTTGAACATTTCATTACTGCCTAAGACTTCCCAAACTTCAAATATGTAACACAGGAAGGTCGACTGAGCAGCCTTAGGAGAAAAAGCAGCAGGTGAGCGTGAAGTTGTAGAACATCTCCAGAACTTTGAGTGAATAGTATTGGATCATGTAGAAACACAAGTGGCTCTAGTGATCCACACACTACATCAACACTAACGGCCATGTGAGCAAGGGGGCAGGCTTGCCTGACAATTCATTACAGTATATACATCCTACTTTGGGGGTGGTACGGTGGCCTAGAGGTGGAGCTCTCGCCTCACAATCAGGAGGCTGTGAGTTCAATCCTAGGTAGAAGCATGTATTTCTCTCTCTGGGCACACTGAGAATATATCTGTCGAACAAAACTCTGCATTGGTGACAAGGAAAGGCATCCGGCCAGTAAATACTCAGCTCCATTCAGTTGCCCAGACTCCATCCCGCAAGGGATTATGGGTTGTTAAAAGAGGATGATGATATACATCCTACTTTGGAATAGTTTAGAAGTAGTCCTCAATTTATAACAGTTCATTTAGTGACCGTTCGAATAGACAACGGCACTAAAAAAATGTGACGTCCTGTATGAACGTTTTTCACGCTTACGACCGTTGCAGCATTCCCAAGACCACGTGCTCAAAATTCAGATGCTCGGCAACTGACTCAGATTTATGACGGTTGCGTTGTCCCCGGGGTGTGTGTGTGTGTGTCATGCGATCCCCTTTTGTGACTTTCTGACGAGCAAAGCCAATGGGGAAGCCAGATTCACTTGACAACTGTGTGACTAACTTAACAACTGCAGCGGTTCACTTAAAGACCGTGACACAAAAGGTCGTAAAATGGGTGTTGTGGCCCGTCAGCGGCCTGAGCAGCTAGTAGCTGATTCCAACAGTGAGGAGGCTGGTGTGGTGCTGTGCCAGCAGCCTGTGCAGCTGGCACTCGAGTCGGACAATGAGGAGGCTGGAGAAGATGTGGTGCCAGAGGCGGGGATTCAGCCAGAGCCTTCAGAACCTCCAGAAGCTCCCATAAGTGAAGAGGAAGAAGAGGAGGAGCCTCTTCTCAATGCACGGGCACGCAGAGCTGCCAAAAGGCAGGAGAGGCTCCTCAGGAGGAGGTCTCCTTGAGAGTAAGGCTTGGAGCTAATTGGCCACTCCCTTAGCCTATTTAAGGAGGAACGCCGACTGAAGCAATTTGCAGGGAACAACTTCGTTCACTCTCCTTCGCGTCTCGATCTTAGTTCTCTTATCAGTTTCCTGCAAATTGCTTCTGGGCTTTCTGCCAACCATAGTAAGATTACGATTATTTATTCTTTGGATTCTTGTAGGCTGTTAAGAAAGTTAATTAACGGCCTTTGTTTGAAAAAAGACTGATTTAATTTAGTAAACTAAGGTTTGTACAGACTTTGTGTGTGCTGCGTTCTTTGGGGTCCGTAGCTGGGGCAGAACAATGGAGGCAAAACTCACTTAACATATGTCTGGCACAAACATAGGGCTCAATTGTGGCCATAAGTCGTGGACTACCTGTAATGATAATAATAATAATAATAATAATTTTTCCCCCTGTTCTTTTTGCTTTGTTTTGGTGGCTTAGGTTTTAAATATAACCCTCCATTCTATGGAGGATCCAGAATATTGTCCCCGTGCCATGGTGCTCGCTGTGATATGTAGCAGAAGCAATTATCATCAATTAACATTAACTAGATCCCTCTCCTTTAAGCTCTGGGAGCAAAATTTTCTTTATAGCAGACATCTGGATGCTTGTTCCTTAATGAAGCAATTAACTCATTGGTTCTATACTTTATCTCTCTAGTCTAGCAAACATTCCCAGCTCCCTTCCCCTATGAAATTCCTATCTTTAGGCATCGTATATTACACCTCCGTCCGTGGATCAAGAAACAGAGCACTGGTGCCGAAAAACGAAACTGACACTGGTAGTCCTCGACTTACAACAGTTCATTTAGTGACCATTCGAACTTACAACGGCACTGGAAAAAAGTGGCCGCTGACTGTTTTTCACACTTTACAACTGTTGTCCATGGTTATTTGATCACACCACTGGTGGTATTCAGCTTTCATTCTATTCATTCATTCTATCTGGTTCGGGTGAAACGGTAGTGGCAGCTGCGGGAGACTCCGCCCACCTGCCCGGACATCATCACATCCTGTTTTTAATGCTCTGCACATGGACGGAAGGTCCTGAGCATGTGCAAAGGTGTCGCACGCGTGCTCACATTTGCGAACTGGTAGTGAAGGTAAGCAGTGGTGGGTTTCAAATTTTTTTACTACCGGTTGGTTCTGTGGGTGTGGCATGGCTTGGTGGACGTGGCTTGGTGGGCGTGGCATGGGAGGGATACTGCAAAATCCCCATTTCCTCCCGATCAGCTGGGACTCAGGAGGCAGAGAATAGATGGGGCGGGGGCCAGTCAGAATTTTTACTACCGGTTCTCCGAACTACTCAAAATTTCCGCTACTGGTTCTCCAGAACTGGTCAGAACCTGCTGAAACCCACCTCTGTACCGGTTCCTCTGAACCGGTTCTTCCAACGATCAGCTGTGCAGCGCGGTTTAGCTTTGCTAGAAAGCAGGAAGTCAATACCACCCCTGGATTCAGGTGTCATATAGTCATATTGATGACTATTTTTCTGTTCCAGTGCAGGTAGCTCTTGACTTACAACAGCTCATTTAGTGACTGTTCAAGGTTACAACGGCCCTGAAAAAGTGGCCTATGACCATTTTTCTCACTTACGTCCGTTGCAGCATCCCCGGGGGGGGTCCCATAATCAAAATTCAGATGCTTGGCAAACTGGTTCATACTTATGACGGTTGCAGTGGCCTGTGTGTATGTGTGTCATGTGATTCCCTTTTGCGACCTTCTAACAAGCAAAGCCAACTTCACAACCCCGTTACTAACTTGAGAACTGCAGTGATTCACTTAGCAACCGGGGCAAGAAAGGCGGTAAAATGGGAAAAAACCACACTTAAGAAATGTCTCGTTTAGCAAAGGAAATTTTGGGCTCAGTTGTGGTCGTAAATCGAGGACTACCAAGAAAGAAGGTGAATCCAAGTGTTGTTCTTCCAAGCTAGATCCATAAGGACATTGTGGCTTTATCAAAGCATTTCTATTTCTGGCAAAGAAAAAAAAAATTGAAGAGGGGAAGGGGTCCAAACTTAATTCCCTACGTAGGATATGAGGTTTGAATGCAGCCTGATTTCCAAAAAAACAGAAACAACCTCATTTTCTGAGGATTGCGTGCACTTTACTAAAGTTTGCATTCCTCTTTCTGTAAAAACTTGTGGTATGGAGCCTTTCCCACATCCTAAAATTAAATAAATAAATAAATAAAGACAGGCAGTCCTCGAATTACGACAGTTCATTTAGTGATGGTTCAAAGTTACAGCAGCCCTGAAAAAAAAAAGGGACTTAGGGCCGTTTTTTTCACACTTTTATGACCGTTGCAGCACCCTCATGGTCATGTGATTAAAATTCAGGCGCTTGGCAACTGACTCGTATTTATGACGGTTGCAGTGTCGTAAGGGATCGTTTGGTCACTTACTGACAAGCCAAGTCAAAGGGGAAACCAGATTCATTTAACAACCGAGTCACGAATTGAACAACTGCAGCGATTCACTTAACAACTGTGACAAGATAGGATGTAAAATAGGGCAACATTCACTTAATTGTGGTCATACGTCGAGGACTACCTGTGCATAAAACCACAACCCTGTGGTTCTTTCCTACAAAAATGAAATCTTGCCCATTTCTTCGCCTCCTCTCTGCATTTTCAAGATAACCTGGTTAAGTGATTTTAAATCTCCTTGCTGATGGCACTTCTAAACTGAGAAACCGAATGAGTACAGTAAGAGAGTTGTAGGCTGAGCCCGAGCGAGTGGGCCAAGCATGTCATAAGTCACGAATCCCTGTGCGCTGCAAGAGATTGAAGTCCACCCCACCTTGAAGGCCTTCTTATCTCCCGCTCATTTCCCTTTAACGGACAGTGGGTCAGATTCTTCTCGGCAGCTTAAGATCACAATAAATATTTATACTCATTTGAATTGCCTGAATCTTCTGATTTCCCTGGTGCTTGGCAAGAGGCATTCAAAGCTTGGCCAACATTGACTCCATAGATGAGAAAGCTTCCTGGAGAACATCAACAGGCAAACCTCTATGCTGGATCAAGATGACAACACATGGAGACATAACTCACAAAAAGCCAGAGGCCAAGGCAGGAACATCGCCTCAATGTTAACCATGGACACGTATTCATTCCAATGGACAGCAATCAGCTAAACATATTGATGCGGCGGTGAAGTTGGAAGTCATGTCTGAAAGCAGGACAGACCCCCTTTCACTAGTTCTGTTTCCTTGCTGGAACCTTTTCCCTTCCTTCCTTTTCTTCTTGGGAATCCCAATATCTCAATAGGTGGTTTCTCTGGTGACCTGGCTAGAAAAAGTATGGTTACTAGAGAGGCTGTTGGACTTCCTGTTGAACTTGGTTCTCTTCTTCTTCTTTCGCCAGGGCAGGCATATGGAAATGAAGGTGGAGAAGAAGATCTGGCGGAAGTTGGTGGAGACCAAGTTGTAGAGGACCGGGTTAATCGCCGAACTGACGTAGAAGAGGATGTTCGTCAGCATGTAGAAATAGTGGTAGAAGTCGTAAAGGAAGCTGAGAGGAAAGAAAAAAAAGGGGGAAGATATTCTCAGTGGAGTACAACTGAAAAATATACAAGTGGCTTGCCCTTATTGCAAAGTGTAAACACAGCTCAATTCCAAGAACCATCCAAGAACACTCTAGCACTCATGAAATTGCCTAGTTGGGTAATGAAATGTTGGCAAGAAAACCACCAAGCTCAGGGGAGCACCAAGGACCTCCCAATCCTCCTGCTCCTGCCTAGTTGGGTAATGAAATGTTGGCAAGAAAACCACCAAGCTCAGGGAGCACCAAGGACCTCCCAATCCTCCTGCTCCTGCCTAGTTGGGTAATGAAATGTTGGCAAGAAAACCACCAAGCTCAGGGAGCACCAAGGACCTCCCAATCCTCCTGCTCCTGCCTAGTTGGGTAAAGAAATGTTGGCAAGAAACCACCAAGCTCAGGGAGCACCAAGGACCTCCCAATCCTCCTGCTTCTGCTCCTCCTCTCCACAAACCCCACTCTCTTCTAGCCCTGATGATGTCACCAAACATCTGTAAGAAAACCCCCAAAGATACAGAGCACCAAGGACCTTACAGTCCTCCTCCTCTTCCTCCTCCTCCTTTCCAGTGGTGGAATGCTGGAAAAAGGCCTGGAAAACGGCCGGAAAATGGCCCAAAAAGTGGCTGGAAAATGGCCCCCAAAATGGCCAAAACCAGGCCATTTTTCAGGCTATTTTCAGGCCGTTTTTGGGCGAAAAAACAGACACGTGCACACTGGCCAGTTGGTCTTCCAAGTTTCTGGTGCTCTGGCATGCGCACATGAATTCACATGCACTTGCGTTCCGGTTTGGGCACCCGGTGGTGAAAAGGTTCACCATCACTGGTCTAGACTTTTAGCCTGCTCATCTCTGTAAAACAACAATAGGAATCAAATTACTTACTCTGACCACTGATTTTCTGAGATGTAGCAATACATAAGCCGCCGCACATGGTACGGAAGCCAGCACACCACAAAGGCAATCACAACAGCACCTGAAATGGAGACGGAAGGAATAATGAAGTTAGCTACTCATTTTGTAAGATTAAAAAAAAAAAGGCAAAGGGAAAACAATTATGTCCAACTACAGCTGGGCAGTGCTGATCTCTGTTTCGTAGCCAAAGGAGCCAGCGTTATCCAAAGACATTTCCTAGGTCATGTGACCAGCATAATTATAAACCAAGATGGAATGCTGTTACCGTCTCACCAAAGTGGTACCTATTTATCTACTTGCATTTGCATGTTTTCAAACTGCTAGGTGGGCAGGAGCTGGAGCAGGGAACGGGAGCTCATCCCATCATGCGGCACTTGGGTCTTGACCTGCCCACCTTTCGGTCGGCAGCTCAGTGTCTTGACCGCTAGGCCGCCATGCTCATTCTGTATATTTATCTAATCCACAGTGTTTATACTGCAATGATTCAATCCAGGGGTGAAATCCAGCAGGTTCTGACAGGTTTTGGAGAACCGGTAGCGGAAATTTTGAATCGTTCGGAGAATCGGTAAATACCACCTCTGGCTGGTTTCAGAGTGGGGTGGGAATGGAGATTTTGCTCGGGAGGGGAGGAGGGAAGCATAGATGGGCAATAATGCTGTGTGTGTATGTGATGGACAATAGGGAGTGGGGGGGGGGAATGACAGGTGATAAAGACCAGAGACGTTTGGAGTCAGTTTGTACCAGCATCCAAGGCCGGGCACCCTGAGAAAGAATGTGGATTACTCCAAAACATCTCAGCATTCTCAAAACACTTTGGCGAATTTCGATTGGCTAAAGACAGACTGGTCACGGATAGAGGGTTAGGATGAGGGGAAACCTTTCTGTATCTTTTGTGCATGGGAAAGCCAGTGCTTGCCTGATTTTACTGTAGCCAAGATCTTTTTGTAAAAGAACCTTTTGCTTCAACCAAACGGAGTCGAGGGTCTTTCTTTCCCAAAGGATCAGATTGGGGCAGGTCTGACAGTGAATCACTGCAGTTTTTAAGTGAACCAACCCATCATTAAATAAATCTGGCTTCCCCCATCGACTTTGATTGTCAGAAGCTGGCTGGGAAGGTCACAAATGGCAATCATGTGTCCTGAGGATGCTGCAACCATCGTAAATAGATGCTGATTGTCAAACACCCACATTTTTATCATGTGACCACCGGCATGCTTCAATGGTTGTAAGTGCAAGGAACAGTCGCAATCTCGTTTTCAGTACTGTTGTAACTTTGAAGAGTCACTAAATGAATGGTCATACATTGAGGACTGTATAATCATAATGATGATATTTTAGCCCTGTAATTTACCAGTCCCTGGGACGTTGGCTTGTTCGTTTTTAACTTCCCCGTCTAGTCCAGAATTTTAGGATTATCTGGTTGATTCCCATCTATGTCAGACTCTAATGTCACTCTGTTCAGTCTCTTATTCAATTCTTTATGAGATGCTGCCAATTGTAATGCTTTTCTGTTGGCAAAAATTGTTGGGTATTTGGCACTAACCTCTTATTCCACCACTTGGAATACAAGCTGATGACTTGTTTTTCTACTGAAGTGTGAAACTTGCCAGAATTGCAGCTCCTGATTTCAATTATTGAAGCCCAAATGGCACACTGCCTTGAAAAACCCATCTCTCTATTTGAATTTTAACCAGCTTTTTTTTTTTTTTCTCAGGGGACATTGTCAACGCTCTTAATGCTGCATTTCAATGAAAGGCCTTAGCCAGATTTGAAAAGAGAATGACGTTTGGGTCATGTTCAAATGACTTCATTAAGGTTGATAGGTCTGGGCTGTAGCTCCTGAAATGGCCACTCGGTGGCAGCAAAGAGATATAAACAGTCTAACTCTGCTTCCATCTGGTGGTCACCTGGAATTGTGCAGCAGATCTGGTACAATTAGTCTTCAACAAGCAGCCATTACGATCATATGATTGTGAAATTTTACGATATTTTTGTGGTGGTCATTAAGTAAATGTGGTATTCATTAAGTGAACTAATAGTTTGCTATGGACTCCGTTTGCACTTAAACTGGTTGTCATACCTGCCCCAGTCGGCCCCTCAGGAAAGCAACACTCTTGAATCCATTAAGTTGAATCAAAAGAACTTTTACTGAGAGAAACTGGGTGCAGTAAAGTCAGGCGAAATCTGAAGTCCCTGCGCAAAGCACAAAGTAATTCTTTCGGTTTCCCAATCCCAACCCCAACCCCCCCTTCCCCCCCCGGCAGCCAATGTGATACCAATAGTACTTAGACTTAAATACCACTTCACAGTGTTTCACAGCCCCCTCTAAGCGGTTTACAGAGTCAGCCTATTGCCCCCAACAATCTGGGTCTTCATTTTACCTCAGAAGGATGGAAGACTGAGTCAACCTTGAGCCTGGTGAGATTCGAACTGCCAAACTGCAGGCAGCCGGCAGGCAGCAGAAGTAGCCTGCAGTACTGCACTCTAACCACTGCGCCACCAGAGCTCAGAATAAATACATAAAATATATGACCTATATTATGACAGACAAAGGAATAGCTCTTTCTGTAAAACAAACGGAATTTTATAACAATTGCTAAATTTTGGACCAGGATGGAGAAATGATGAAATGACGTTGTTCAACGTAATCTTGGTTTTTTGCATTTGTTATTATGTCTTTCACATTTCCTCTCTTCAGAAAACAGAACTGGATGAGGCTTTTTCCCCCTGCTTATTTATGCTCTCTGATATTATTAGGCACAATCTTATATTTTATTCACTCATCTATCTAGCCATGTCTCGGTAAATGAGTAATCAATTAGCAAGGTCTTTATGCTAATTTGTAATATTCTATGCCATCCCTGCTATCAACACTTCATAACTAGAGGAAGCTGCGCCATTGGCTGTACCTTAAATAAATTTTCAGATCAAGGAAGAGTGATAGTTCAAAGTAGAGCAAGAATTCACTGTCCTTGGATACATTATTTGGACAATACTATGCAGGCAGTACTGAGAATTATGTTACTGCCTTTTTCTTTTAGGCATCTTAACATAGTTTCATTAATAAATTAATAATACGTGATTGTATTCCAATTTTTTAAATAAATGTGTATTTCTTTGAGTTTTATGATGTATTTATTATCATAGAAAATGATGCATATTCTATTGGAAAATGGGTGAAAACTGTGTATTTTTGGGAAAAATACATATACAGTTCATAATTGCATTTTGTAGAAAAAAATCCATATGGATTGTTATGCCTTTTTAAAAACCAAGCGATGGTTAAATGGTGATTCATCTATCTATATCTATCTATCTATCTATCATCGTATCTATCATCTCTCTCTCTCTTCTCTCTCTCTCTCTCACACACACATGTCTGTCTGTCTATGTAAGCTATCACTCTTTCCTTATCTTCAAATTCAAGCTACAGCCAATGGCACAGCTTCCTCTAGTAACAAAGTGTTGATGGCAGGGATTGCATGGAATATTACAAATTAACATACATACATATGCATTGTATATTTATTTAAATTAATATTTGTACAGTATATCAGTGATTGCTTGACCTCTGTAGATGCCATACGCTTAATAATAATAATAATAATAATAATAATAATAATAATAATAATAATAATCTGTTTCCCCCAAAATAAGACCCTGTCTTATATTTTTTTGAACCCTGAAATAAGTGCTTGGCCTTATTGCCATGTGCTCAAAAGCCTGATTGGGCTTATTATCAGGGGAATGTCTTATTTTGGGGGAAACAGGGTAATAATAATAATAATAATAATAATAATAATAATAATAATAATAATAATAGTCATTTGGAACATAACACGCCAGATATCACGGTCGTTGAGGGCCAAAGCGTACAGTTTATTGATATCGCTGTACCAGGAGATACTAGAGTAGAAGAAAAAGAACTGGAAAAAATCACGAAATATCGCGCCCTGGCCATCGAAACTACATGGCTATGGATGAAACATGTAACAGTGATACCCATTGTCATTGGGGCACTTGGTACCATGTCCAAGAATTTTACAAAATACATCAAGAAATTGCAGCTTCCTGCAATAACACCAGTGGAACTGCAAAAAACTGCGCTACTCGGAACATCGTATATTTTAAGAAGGTACTTGGTTGATACCTAGGACGCTGGCAGCAACCCATATCAACCATTAGCACCAGTCAGTGGTATTTGTGATGCATTTTTGAATGTTCAGTTGACTGTGTCTCATGTTTAATGAATAAAGTAAATAATGATAATATAAATCCACATCTGCCTATCACAGGTCCTTGGTAAGGACTCGATAGGTAGACAGAAATGCCAAACCCAGTCTGAACATCTGGCTGACTGTGGGATGATCAATAATAATATAGTTTCCGGGCCTCTTATCATCTTTGTTGTTTTTTCTAGTTTGTTGACAATGGGATCCAAAGGACGATCTCTTGCGAAGAATGTGCAACACTGCCCCCTTCAGGTCATTGTGGAGTGCCACAAACAGACATCAAGCAGTACTTGGACCCAACCCAACTGATTCAAATACCTCCCAGGTAGTTGGGAGTATTAGAAGTTTTTTCTCTGGAAGAAACAATACATCATTTCCAAGCCACAGGGGCAAGGCCTCAGCCGTACGGATAAACTGAATATCAGATAAGAGGAAGGTGGCCTCAAATCAGAGGGGTACGTACGTAGAACTCGAACTCCATGCTTCAAAGTTTGAACACGGCCAGGTTCCATGGACATGCTAAGCATGGTCTGCTGTCCTCCAATTGTGCACACTTGGTGTTCTTGGGCCGCTTGCTTGAACATGATGATAAGTTGGTTGGCTATGATGGTGTTGAGGACGGAGATAACCGCCATTGGAAAAACGAAGGAGATGAAGACGTTGACCTGGATGGGACAGGAAGAGAGGAAACAGAGAAATCTTGTTAGCATCTAAAAGGGGAGAGAAGAGATTAGAAATTTGGGTGCTGGTGGGATCCATTCTTTCCAGTAAAAATGCTATCACAGGTGGTCCTCGACTTACAAACATTTATTTAGTGACCATTCTAACATTATCTAACAAAATGAAATTCAATGTAGAGAAAAGTAAAGTTCTCCACCGAGCAAGAAAAAACGAAAGTACACAGATAGGCTGGGTGAAACCAGGCTCAATAGCAGTAATTGTGAGAGGGATCTTGGAGTCTTAGCGGACAACCAGCTAAATATGAGCCAGCAGTGTGCAGCAGCTGCCAAAAAAGCCAATGCAATCCTAAATTGCATTAACAGAGGGATACAATCAAGATCAAGTGAGGTACTAATACCATTCTATGAAGCCTTAGTAAGACCACACCTAGAGTACTTTGGAACTTTGGAAGGGACCTTGTAATCATTCCAAGATGTAATGACAGTAGGAGATGACCAGGCTGAGCTCGAGGGAAGGAACTGGCCTTCAGTTCCTGAGAAGAAGGGAACCTCTAACAATATTTTTGTGTTACAGCAACCTCTACCTGGTTTGCCAGCTCCTACCAAGGAAGGGGAGGTGAATTCCTTTGAGACGGCCTACCTTCTGCCTTTGCCAAGTTTCTGTGAGAATTTAGACTTTGAAGACACAACACAGGGAGGGGAAAGCAGCAGCAAGGAAGAGGAGGGGGACCAAGATGGAGGGAATGGGTGATGTTGGAGATGACCAGGCTGAGCCTGAAGGAGGGGTCAAATACGTCATCAATCTCAAATCCCCTTGCCCTCACAAGAGATTTAAATTGAGCCTACCTGTTGACTCTTATCTACCAGCCAATTTGCTTGGACCATTCAGATTCTTTGTCAGATTAGAGCTGGAAGGGACCTTGGAGGTCTTCTAGTCCAACCCCCTGCGTAGGCAGGAAACCCTATATCATTTCAGACAAATGGTTATCCAGTCTCTTCTTAAAAACTTCCCATATTGGAGCATTTACAACTTCTGGAGTCAAGTTGTTTCACTGATTAATTGTTCTCACTGTCAGGAAATTTCTCCTTAGTTCTAGGTTGCTTCTCTCATTGATTAGTTTCCACCCATTGCTTCTTGTGCTTTGGAGAATAGCTTGACTCCCTCTTCTTTGGGGCAGCCCCTGAAATACTGGAGCACTGCTATCATGTCTCCCCTAGTCCTTCTCTTCATTAAACTAGACATACCCAGTTCCTGCAACCGTTCTTCGTATGTTTTAGCCTCCAGTCCCCTAATCTTTGTTACTCTTCTCTGCACTCTTTCTAGAGTCTCCACATCTTTTTTACATCGTGGCAACTAAACTGAATGCAGGATTCCAAGTGTGGCCTTACCAAGGCATTATAAAGCGATATTAACACTTCATGTGATCTTGATTCTATCCCTCTGTTCATGCAGAGAGATATCAACAGTCATAAGTCACTTTTTCCAGTGCTGTTGTAACTTTGAACGGTCACTAAATGAACTCTGGTAACTTGAGGACTACCTGTATTTTATTCCCAGGGTAGGATCCTGTAGTTTGGCTGATCTTAAAAAGATAAGCGGGCTTGGAATGTTCTAGAACATGAATGAGAGACCACTAGGCGATTTCTGAACTGCTGATAGATCAAGAAGTCAAAGAAGACAACACTGTGATGAAAACAGGGGACAATCACTTCCGTGTGATTGCTCAGAAACGAGAGGAATGTGTCTGTGAATTCACAGGAAAACGCCCCCACAAAAAAGTCATTTTTGCTTTCTGTCCACTGCTGAAAGCGTCCTTTTCCTGAGTAGTTCCTAGAGCCCCAAATCTTAGTCAGAACTCACTGCATCGAACGTGTAAATAAATAAACCAACCACAGAAAAGCACAATCATTAAATCAGTAAAACTTTACAATAAAACCCTGCAACATAATAAATGGCCCCATAAAACTGTACGGTAGAATCCTAAAATAATATATGATTGATTTGAAAGCTTAGAGGAAAATAAATCTTTTCCACTCTCTGCCTTGCTTCTTGGGCAGCTGCTGAACTCTCAGAATGTCACCAACGCTCCACGTAAAGAAGCGTACAAGAAAACAATATAATTAAATCACTGGGACGCTACAGTAAAGCAGGACAATGTAATCGATAAATATCACCATAAACTTCACCATAGTGAAGTTGGAAGTCTTTCCCCCTTGGCTGTCCAGTATCAAAAGTGGCCATCACTGACTAAGCTACTGGAGGCCCAGAATATTATATCCCAGCTCTGTTGACATCTGCTGTGGACATGAATTTATTTAATATTTAATTTATTTTCATCCCACCGTTATTAAAAACCTTCTTTTTCCAGCAAGCCGGGCTGGCCTAACACTTTTTAAAATATTTTTAATTGTCTGTTATTGTTTTTAATCATGGGGCCAAATTTATATATATATCTTTTTAATTGTATTTTAATGTTTGTAGTTTATGTTTTTACTTGGCTGTTCACCGCCCTGAGTCCTCAGGGAGAAGGGCGGTATACAAATTTAAAAATAAAATAAAATAAATAAAATAAATTACTTTGTAAGTAACTCAAGGAGGTGAACATTCATAAATAATAATATTTCTTCTTCCTTCTATTTTCCATACAACAATTTGGAATTGGGTATGTCTAGTTTGATGAAAAGAAGGACCGGGGTGACATGATAGCAGTGTTCCAATATCTCAGGGGCTGCCACAAAGAAGAGGAAGCCAAGCTATTCTCCAAATCCCCTGAAGGCAGGACAAGAAGCAATGGGTGGAAACTAATCAAGGTGAGAAGCAACTTAGAACTAAGGAGAAATTTCCTATCAGTGAGAACAAACAATCAGCCTCTAGAAGTTGTAAATGCTCCAACACTGGAAGTTTTTAAGAAGAGACTGGACAACCATTTGTCTAAAATGGTGTAGGGCTTCTTGCCTGAGCAGAGGGTTGGACTAAGAGACCTCCAAGGTCCCTTCCAACTCTGTTCTGTTATTCTGTTCTGTCATTCTGTGTGGTTGGTTCGGCTGAGGGAGATGGGCTGACTCAAAGTCACCCAGCTGGCTTCCATGCCTAAAGTGGGACTACAACTCACAGTCTCCTGGTGATTGGCCTAAAGTCACCCAGTTGGCTTTCATGGCTAAGGCAGCACTAGAACTCACAGTCTCCTGGTGACTGGCCCAAAGTCATCCAACTGTCTTGGGAAGAGGGTGTAGAACTCACGGTGTCCTGGTGCCTTCAATTGTCAATCCATTCAAAGCTTCGGGCTCCGACATGCCTAGCGGTTCCAGCTTTATCCTGGCTAGACCCTACCAGTATCTGAAAAAAGTCACCAGGATCCATAACTGACATATCTCAGGAGCCAGAGAGAGGGAAACTAAACTCAGTCAAAAAAAGGGGGAAGGAGATGACTTCATCATAAAAAATAGGGAAAAAAATGAAGCCACATCCAGACAATGATTTTGGTCTCTAAAACTCCTCATCACACTGAATGTTCTTGGAAGGTTCTTGAGTTGGAGTAAATCCACAGTAAAATTTAGTATCTCAGTAGGCTTGCTCCTATAACATAGGGCAGTGATGGCTAACCTTTTTGCCATCGCGTGCCAAAAGCTGGGGGAGTGCGGGGTAGTCACACGCGTGTGTGCCCACACCCATAATTCTAGGTGCCCTGCCTCCCAATGCATGTGTGTGCAATCCCTTGCTCCCCCCCCATTTTTGGCATGTGACAGCATGGTGGGCACAGTAGGCCCATTTTTTGCCCTCCCCAGACTCCAGAGGCTTTCTAGGAGCCTGGGGAGGGCTCCTAGAAAGGAGGGCTTCCCCACCCTGCTGGAGGCCCTCCAGAGGCTGGAAACAGCCCATTTGCCAACTTCCAGTGGGCCCAGAAGGCCCAAAAATCAGCTGGCCAGTGCGTGCATGCATGCTGGAGCTGAGCCTGGGCAAGGCTCACGTGCCCAACAATATGGTTCCGCGTGCCACCTGTGGCACGTGTGCTGTAGGTTCGCCATCACGGGCATAGGGTGAAGGATTCCTACTGCCACCCCAGACAAATCCATAAGATAATCAGAATGGAAATATTCATTGCTAAACTGAATATTGATGTATCTACCTGTTGTGGTGTCTACCTCAATGATGTGCTGGATGAAAAACCTAGTTGTTGTCCCAGACTTTGGGAGACAGTTTATAGAGCCCTATACAAGTGATGGTGAACCTTTTCAGCACCAAGTGCCCAAACCAGAATGCGTGCACATGAGTGCTGGAAACACAAAGACCAGGTAGCTGATGCGCATGCCGGCCTGCTGCTCTTTAGGTTTCTGGCAGGGGTGAAATCCAGCAGGTTCTGACGGGTTCTGGAGAACCGGTAGCGGAAATTTTGAGTAGTTTGGAGAACCGGCAAATACCACCTCTGGCTGGCCCCAGAGTGGGGTGGGAATGGAGATTTTGCAATATCCTTCCCCCATGAGTGGGGAGAGAATGGGGATTTTGCTATATCCTTCCCCTGCCACGCCCACCAAGCCACACCCACTAAGCCACACCACGCCCAACGAGCCAAGCCCACAGAACCGGTACACGTATGCCGTAGGTTCGCCATCACGGCCCTATAGGTTTTTGTTAGTGTGGGTTCTTCAGATGCACAGCATTTTCTTGTTATTTCGTTCTTGTTTTTCCTTTCCTGCTTTGATTTAGCTTGCTGCAAGCTGCCCAGAATAATTTTGGAGTTGTGAGCTTTTCTACATCTCAGCATAAATAAATAAATATATTTTATCTGGATAGGGAATTATTTATACCAGGCAGCAAAGTATTGTTGAAGTCAGGGATGGAGAAATCTTTTGACCACAGGGGTAACTTTGAGATGGTCTCATGGGATCTGTATCAAAACCCTGCCAAGGTAGAAATGCCCAGGTTCACAACGCTCATTTACCAAAGGAAAAATTGGTGAACGTCTTCACTCTCCAATGTTCTCCTG